TGTTGTTGTTGTCAGTTTGATCCTACAGAGACAGCTCTTCAAAGAATACAGTGCTCCACCCAGACCATTTTCACTGGTGAGCCTGCATTGTTTGGGTTTAAGATGACTTTAGGGAATATTTTTTGTTTAAGACCCAAAGATTACTGGTTCCTATGAAATCTTTCATAATATAAGGAATCCACTCGAGTCCAAGTCACTATCTTGTCACTCTTGGTTTCTCTGCTTCTCCGAAATGTGGCTTTAGGATTGGAGAAGATGCATGATTGATTTACCTTATGCAGATGGGACAACCTTGCTTACAGAAATTGAAGAAGCCTTAAGAGTACTTCCTGCATACTAGGGGATGGGGTCACACTTATCTGTGTTCCTATGGAAACCATTTGAATATTTGTTTTATATACATTTTTATTCACTTTTCATACATGCTACTAAAGAATGCACCCAGCTGCTGAGCCAGCATGTGTAGCCTGTCCAGGGGCAGAATGAGCCAAAGGTTAGTGTTGTGGCCTATTTTAAAAATAAAGTATCTTGACATTAAAAAAAAGTACTTCCTGCACAAGATCAAAAGTTGTAGCCTTCACTCTTCGCTATGAGTTACACCTCAACATCAAGAAATCAAAACCCCTCCAGACTACTGCATCCAAAGGCATGACAGATGGAGAAAAGATGGAGAAAAGTTGTCAGAAATTCAATTTTACTTGGATCCACAATCAATAATCATGATAGCACTGCTCAAGAAATGAAAGGGCATATTGCATCGGGCAAACCTACTACAAAAGGACTCTTTAAAGTGTTAAAAAGCAAAAGATATCGCTATGAAGATGAAGGTGGTGATCCAAGCCATCATGTATTCAGTAGCTTCATGTGCATGTGAAAGCTGGATGATGACTAAGGATGATCGAAGGACTGATGCATTATAGTGTTGGTGAAGAATACTGAATATACCATGAACTGCCAAAAGAACAAACAACTTTGTTTTGGAAGAAGTGCATCCAGAGTACTGCTGAGCAGTGAAGACAGTGATCTCTTTAGATCACTTGCATGGGACAGGTTATCAGGAAGGATCAATGCCTGGAGAAGGAAATCATGCTTGGGAAAGTTGAAGTCAGTGAAAAATGAAGAAGTCTCTTAAGGAGATGAACTGCCAAGCCAGAGAAAGGCCTGAATTTCTGCTCCCATGCAAACAAATGACAGCTTAGGGACCTTGTACACTTCTGCTTTGACACATGAGGTCTCTATCAGGCAGAATCAACTGATGACTGTTACCAGGTAGTGGAGCAGACTTGTCATTGACAGGTGTGCAAGAAAGTAAAAATTCAAGACCCTGTTTTAGGGAAAGTGAAACTCAAAATCAGAATTGTTGTTGAGTTTCAGAACCAACTAGTAGCAGTCCTTCCAATAGGTTTTTAGAAGGTTGTAAATCAAATACAAAGAGATTCTTCATCTTTTACTATGAACAGCTGGTGGATTTGAACCACCAGAGAGGTAACAACTTGGGTTTGCATGATAAATCCCTTAGGGACCACCATGATTGAGAGGGGCTAAGAGCACCTCAGACAAGATGCCTCCATGGTGGGTGGGTGGCAAGTGCAATATGTGTTGTGCTGCTAACATCAGAAGTTTGAATCCAGCAGCCACTCTATGGGAGAAAGAGTTATAGGGTTGGAAACTCCATGGAGGGAGTTTGTTGGTTTTTTAAATTTTATTAGTGTGTGTGTGTGTGTGTGTGTGTGTGTGTGTGT